ATATAATATAATAATAATATTTATATAATATAATAATATATAATATTTATATTTTTCTTATCAATATGAAATCCAGTTTGTTGAATCCTTTGTTCATTTTTCGTGGTACTATAAAATATTAAAATTTTGTCGTTATGTTTAAATCATGTACAGCATAAACGAGAGAGAGAGAGAGAGAGAGAGAGAGAGAGAGAGAGAGAGAGAGAGAAACATCTTCGATAAGTCATATTTCATATATTACTCATTGTTGACATACATGATAAAGATAATTTTATATTTTTATCTGTAGACTATTATAATTTACGGGTATATGCCAAACACTCTGGCGAAAACTCTTTCATTCGAGAGATACATACATATATAACTCAGCTAACATCGCGATTTAATAGAGTGCATACGATAAAATTTATCAATAGCAACTCGAAAGTACGGTTGAGTGGTCGTGCAAAACAGTGGTTGTCTCAGTAGCTAAAGCAGCGGAAAAAAATTTGTATATTTTTCAGACGGCGATCATAATATGAAAAATTAATAATTAATCTTATTCAATTATCTTCAAATCACATTCTTCAAATTTTTTTGGAAATCTTAAGATATCTCAATACAAGAACTTATACTGCGAAATATTTACATATATCAATATCTATTGGCAAGAATAATAATTAAATTTTGCGATGTATATTTATAATTGTATATATATATACATACACTAAAAAAAAAATTGTTAATTTGACTAAATCCGTTCAACTAATTACCATTTTTTTAATTGAAATATTTATATATTTAAATCAAATAAGACATATTAAATCTAACATGACGTATATTTGACTTAAATATATAAATATTTCAGTTAAAAAAATGGTAATTAGTTAAACGGTTTTAGTCAAGTTAACAATTTTATTTTTTCAGTGTATACATATACAGGGTGTCCCATTTTAAAAGTTCCACCCTCATAACTTTTCAGGATCAACGTTTGAAGGAAAACGACTCGGATAAAAGTTGTAGGGAACAAAGGGGGCTCTAATAGTGACCTTGGATTTGACATTAAAGGTCATTTTTAAGGTCACATTATTAAAATTATTTTAAAATATTGTAATAATAAATTTTAAAAAATTAATGTTTTGTTTTCAGGCTATTAATTGAGCGAAAGGATGTCGGTTCATTTTGTTCCCTACAACTTTTATCCGAGTCGGTTTCCTTCAAACGTTGATCCTGAAAAGTTATGAGGGTGGAACTTTCAAAATGGGACACCCTGTATATATATATATACAGGAGGGAAAGTGTAACGCCCATCTTAACAATTTAAAAATTTTAAATAAAGGAAAACAAAATTAATTGCACATAATTTAACTAACGTCGCAATTTAATAGCATGCATGCGGTAAAATTTATTAATAGTAACTCTAAGAGTTCAGTCGGACCAGTGCAAAAAATTGTCTCAGTAGCTGAAGCAGCGGAAAAAGGTTTGTGCGCCACCGCACAGCTGGTTGCAGCATGCCGTGGATTAAGAAGATGGAATATATTTAAAAAAAGTTTCGTCTTTCCTTGCGTATAATAAACGACTGTTGTCTTGCGCATCCATCTGCTAACAAAGAGGAGAGAAAGATAGAGAGATACCGAGGTTAGTGCAGTTGATAAGGAAATATTAGAAATTTTTTTAATAAATGTTCGGAAAAGGATTTGTGCGAAATGTTGACAATGATTAAAAGCTCGATGATCGTGAAAATTCAATCTACATGAAGAGGCAACGTCTTCTTTTCGTAAAGAAACGTCGCAAAAAAAGAAAGATAGAATTATATAAAAACCCGATTCTCCTTTTGTCCGATTATAATCTAACGTCGAATTGATACCTCGGCGTGGAAAATTGATCTTTCGAAATCCCGCCAGATGCGGGGACCTAATGGCCAATCGGCACGCATTGTCTCGCCGAGGGCGCGTGCACCCGTAAACGACATCACTTTTACAGCTGCCGGAAGTATACATCTGCTACGGCGGAATCTACTAAGACGTGCGGAGAAGGTCAAGTCGATTCGCTTCATAATTTTACACAATCGTGGAGAAGAAGGGAATCGTGCTAATAAGCCGCGTTTCTCTCTTGTCGAGACAAATAATCGGGACGGTTGATTAAAATTGGAAAAAAGCATACATAGGGGCCCTTGCACGTGGCAAAGTCCACCTTTATTTTCGAAAAGTAGCGGCAGCTGTCCGGAAGAAACGATCGCGGCTCGTGTTGAACACCTTTCGTCTCGAAATCCAGTCGTCTCGAGATCCTCATGAATCTCGAAAGGATTCCGATAAAGATTCGCCGTTAAATGTAAAAATTTTGTGTAGAAATTAATCATTAGTCACGCATCTCGAGAAAAACTGCTGCTTTCGTCGAGCATCAATTAAAAACTTAAAACATAAAAAACTCAAGATAAGCAAGATAACATTTCGCTGACAATTGATTAATATTCAATGTAGATTATCGGCTCAAGGTGTGTAAATTATCCGTGTTTTCGAATTTACTTTTCAGACTTATGCGTTTCGCATGCGCATTTGAAAAGATGCTGAAAAGGAGGAGGACGACGCATCTGCTTCTCTTGGAATTATCCCCATCATTTATGGCTAAAATATGCAATCTCGTCGCCATCGTTATTAAAACAGTAATCAAGTTTCACGGACGGAAAAATCGCAACAATACATATGCGTACGTATATGCATGCGGCACGCGTGTGGCACGTAATTTTGTTTAAAATGCCCCCTTCGTTTTATCTAGCGCATTTGCATGCGTAATTCGATTTGTCGCTATAAACGAAACTCGCAGATATGTGTTTTTGATAAAGAAGACATCTTATCGGATAATAATAAATAATTCTTCCGCCTCTCGCGCGTTTTCGCTTCCACGCGAATTATCCTCGCTTTATCAAACTCACGTTGCCGCTATGACAAAACTGTACGGCCAAAAGGACGAAATGGAAAGAAAAATGATTATTATTATTCTGAAAAAAGACAATATTATCCTTACCTCGGGATATATGTAGTGCAGACAAATGCGATACAAGTTTACATTAAGAGTCATCAAAATAATTAAATTAATATTCAAATACAAGTGTCTACTCAAATCTTGTAAAAATATTCCCTGAAAATTCCCTGATCTTCCAGGTATTTTCGTTCAAAGTTTCAGATAAAGAGAATATTTTAAAGATATTTTGGTGCAACTTCCTAAAATAAATTTTCAAAATTATCAAAGAGAGAATTTTACAAAGAATTCTCTGAATCCCAATAAGATTCCATGAGAATTCTCTGACTTTTCCAGATATAAAAAAGATCCCTTAAAATTCCATGTTCTTTCTAGGGAGTAGACACCTTGTATAATTAACAGAGTTTCTGTCCTATTCATACTAAGTCGCATAGAGTCATAACAATTTCATCTATTATAAAAAAAAAACAATTGTTCAACGTGTATGCAGTTTCATGGTCGGTCAAACTGGTATATCGCTCGTTTATTCTCGTGAAAAATTTACCTCTCACATTTATCGTCTCCCAGCATTATGTTCCAGGATATATATCGACACGTCAATTTTCTTACGATTAATGTGATCTGCAAAATGCAACGTCGACCCAGCCGCCGCCCGGGCGCAATGTCCTCTCTCAACCCTTTTTTCGTATTCTCACCCCCGCAGCTGACGAGCTGACGGGATACCACCTGACGGTTACCACCAGGGACAGCTGTTCTCTCCCCTTCGCGGGGCCCGCGTACACCATTCTCCCTCCTCCATCGTCCCGCGCGCTGGCCCATGCGCATCCAAAAAACCGAGACGATTTCATGTGGTGAAAAAAAGGTCAAAAAACCGCAGGCTTCGTCCTGCCGAACGGCAGGATGTTGGTGGAGACGAAAGGGAAGTCGCTATCGTCGACCATATACGATGATCGACTAACGCGTAATTTTACCAACAGTTTTTTTCGCAACTTTATATGTAATATTATTCATTACAATTGCAATGAAAAATAAGTGTTTGTGAAATTTTTAAGGAACATGACAATATTTTTTATATCTAGCTAATTAAATTATTCAACGACAGAGAAGATGTTTGTCTATCTTGCCTTGGAGCAACCCCCGTTGTCGATCCCTTCGAGTACTAATCAAGTCTTTCTCCCTCGACCCTGGCAATGATCGCGGGCGGCCAGGAGATCGGCGAACGCATGTTTCGAGGATCGCGAGACGGTAAGAAAGAAAGCACATAGATTCACTTGGTAACAGCAGTCGGCGGACTGCTTTGCCCCCCGGCTTATTTTTCGCTGGACGCGAACGTCGAAGACAACAAAAGTACCTCGACGGAGCAGATGCATGGCATGTGCTACGAACCGACACCAGATGCCCCATTGGCGTAGAGAGATCCCTCCGGACGACCCCGATAAAAGGTGTAGGGATGGCGCGCGATTCCTTTCAAGTTAGTCGCGTGCCATATCCACGAGTTCCCTCGTTTATACGTATGGCCCCCTTCTCCGGGTTCCAACGCATCGCGGGCCGTTGCTACGGGGATGTTGAACGGACGCCCAATTTCTTATCACATAATCTCGTCTTTGGATTTCTCTTGCTCTATTACATATAATACAGGTTAATATTCTCAAATATTATATAAAACATGTGTAATATATCGTTACATTCGCGACAAATTGAGAACAGAAATTCTTCGACAGCTTCTTTCTCCCCAACACTGAGAAAAATAGAGTCAAATATATATATATATA